AATATTGCTCGGTACCGAGTACCGAGCAACACCGAGTTCCAGTAACGTTCGGTACCAAGCGGTACCAAGTTTCAATACCGAGCCTATGATTAAGAAAATGAAGAACGATGAAGAAAACGAACCTTCACTGCTCACGTCGCCTTCACTGTTCGCGTTGTCGAGCCGCTTCGTCGACGAAGGATGATCCTATCGACTTTAATGCTCGCGTCGTCAAGCCTCTTTGTCGACAAAGGATGATCTTGTTTGCTTCTATGCTCGCGTCATTGAGCCGCTCCTTCAACTATAACGAAGAAGATGAACGTGTGTGGAAACGAAAAACCTAGCTCTTTGAAATGTTGCTCCGTGTTTTGAGCGAAAACGGTGGACGAAAAGAAAAGAGTAGGTAAATCGTGGCTCCGTGTTTTTTTTTAATAGGACACGCGTATCCGATACGCGTGTCCAGTCAAATTTAAATAATATTTTAATCGGACACGGCAAGGCCATATCCGACACGTATCCGTGCCGTATCGGAGGCGTATCCGTATCCGACACGTATCCGATACAGCACGCCTCGTAAATAGGAGTATCCATGCAACATAGGTGATTAGTTAGAACTAAGAGAAGGAGAGGCCTTTAGTGAGCAGTTAGGGCCTAGGTTTCTTGATTTTTTTGAGGAAGAGAGAGAGAGAGAGGGAGAGAGACGGGTTTTGGCATGTGTCTCGGACAAAACCGATAGAGAGAGAAAGAGAGAGAAAGCTCGATACGCACCTACAACCCTTTCTTCTTCGTCCAGTTTCCAAAAATATAGAGAGCGAGGAATGCGATTGTCTTTATTTCCAAATAGTGGACTGCTTGCTTGTTATTCCAAAATAAAAAAGTTGCAGTTAACTTTCTGGTTTGTCCTCCTCCACAATTTTTGTTTTTTTGTTTGTTTTTTTTTTTTTAGGGCGGGGGGATAAAATGGTCTTCCTTTATTAGATTTAAATTAGAATTTGACTTTTAACATGACACAATGGCGAAAAAGGATTCATGTAGCTGACCCCACGTAGTGGGACAAAGGCTTGATGTTGTTGTTGTAGGGCGGGGGGCTTTTTCTTCTACTTCATGCATCAACTTCTGACAAGTTGAAGGCAGTGAAGACATCCAAGCAACTTGAATAGAGGATTCATTTCAATTGTCTGTCTCCTCTAAACAAAAGCGTTGTCATCAAACGCTAGCTCCGGCGAGTTAAAATTTCAAAACTTAGGTCTCTAGGCCGCTTGATGTATGCATGACAATCCTGCAAGCCCTAGGTCTACGTAGATGCTTCATTTATGCTTTCAAATCCCCACACCCTAGTTATCCTTTTCACATACCCATAAAAATCAGGTGATTTTCAATGGATTGCTCTCATTTGAGAACCAAAAGAGGATGGAAACAAGCGTCGGGTCATTGGACATATTCATATTGGAGCCTTTCTTCGCCTACAATCAAGCTCTAGGCTAGACATCGCTATTCGATTTCAATTAGGAAGTTTCTAATTACATTCTTTGGTGTTGTGGCTATTTAAGGAGTTGTCTAGGGCTCAGCAAGGTGTTTAAGAAGATAGGGATGATCATATACCATGGATTCAATACCATGTTTGAAGAAGAATGAATCCTAAAAAACTACATCTTCTTAAATTGTCTTCTAGTATAAGGATGCATTCTCCTTAGATGAAAGAAGAGAATAAAAAAAAGGAAAATAATAAAGACGAATGCACTTAAAAATAAAGAAATATTAATACTTTGAATAAGGTAACATTAATGAATAAAAAAGTTTTTGTAGGCTTTTGGTAATCAATTCTTAGGTCAAGTTGGCGTTGCAAGTATCTTTTGTTGTTAATGGGCACAGCGAGGTCTAAAGAAAATTCTAAACATAAGTTTAATAACATTTGCATGTAAGTTTTTATAACCGTATTCATATAAGATGCAACCATTAAGAAGTTGATAAGTACCCTGAATAGCATCCCTTGCACTATAATTGAATGAACAGTGAACATGAATTCCAAAAAATTACAATGTAATTTCGAATGCAAAAAAAGTGAAATGTGTAACCTATAGAATGTCAAAAAATCTCTAACAACTGCAAACCACATCATATTTTTGTAAGAAAAAAAATGCAGAAAATAAAAGAATAACAGAAGAATATTTGTTTTATACTTGAGATGATAATCAGACAAAGTTGTGCAGAAAATCAAAAGAATAACTAAAAGGTAAAACAATTAAAAGTGACAAAGTTATCTTCAGACCTGCACTCAAACATCATAAAGACAAGAAAACTGAAAATTTAAGAGAGAAAATTAACACGGGCAATATGCTGGTCTAATTTTGTATCACCTAATCGTCCTTGTAAAAAATTCAAAGCTCAATATACAGAACTTCAACGACACGCAAGCGTAAAAATTGCATTACTTTTAATTTAAAAAAAAAAAAAAACAGGCATAGAAAATAAATAAATTATAATATACCTGGCGCCTGAATACACCACAGAAAGTACAATTGTTCTTTAGCCCTATCACCTTCACAATCTCATCCATTGTCCAACCATATAAGTCCTTGTATGAAACTACTTTCAAAGGCAATCCATACTGGAAAAACAAATATATAGAGCAGACCAATTAGAAGTAACAACATGGCTTAAAAAGTATACAACAACATATTCCAACATAAGCAAAAGATGCATGAAAATTTAAGCAGTGAATGCAAAAGATTATAGATACGAGATAAAGAGATCCATTTCACTCTCTGTTGGCACCAATACCATTATGAAATGCATACCCATCTTACCATGTGCCAAGGTTTCAAAAGGCGAACTCGAAAATCGAGGCATTTTGTCTAAAGTTGGGAAGATGGAAGTCTCACTCAAATTTTAAGATAAAAAGTGGATTGAAAAAGAGCAATAGCGACTCATGCAATTATGATTTCTTTTGTTTATTTTTCTCTCTTTTTTACCTGTACGAATATAGACGGTATGGCACAACACACATGGTTTTAGTAACCGAGCATCATTAATGACATTAATCTAGAGAAAAAAAATTAAAAAGAGAGCAGAGTACAATATTTCCTCAAGATGTGATGCTAAATGTATCAGTTGGATGTGCCATAATGCAAGTATTATTCTTGTGATTACGGATATAGAATATATGTAATTAAGTAGTATGGTTATGAATGTTTATATTTAGGAATACAATTGTAAGTTCATTATCAAGATTCGGGCCATACCTGATAGTTTATATTGTTGAAATTTTACCGTCTATCATGCCAACTATTTTCAATATACAGATGAGAACTCGCAGTGTGAGAGCAATAAGTCTGATTGACAAGGTATCAAAGACACTTGTCCGTGCCAGTGCTAGTCCCCTAACATCGAAATCTAGTCGAACTCGTCTCCCTTTGGTAGCACTTGTTGTTGGCAATACAAGACCACCGTTGATCTCAACCACTCGAATGAACAATCTCGGCGTCCTAGTCCCCGCCTGCAGTTAACGATTTTTCTCATATATCCTAGATAAGAAGAAGTTCAGCACTCTCCTTCATCATTGAAAATGCTCTCCAAAGCTCCACCTCTAATGACCTATCTTATTGCTTCTAGTATCTGATGTCTGGTATGATCCAAACATGCAAATCTCATTTCCCTTGTAACCTCCAGGACCCTAAAAAGCCAATCTCTCAGCACTCAGGATTCATCTTACAGTATTGATCTATCAACACTCCAAGGCAATATCGCTTAGGAACTCATTCTACAACACTGATTTTTTTTTTTTTTTTGGGCCAAACCTGTTTTTTTTTTTTTTTTTTGGGTTGGGGGGGGGCGTGGCAGATTTTTCTCAGCAATCATCTCTCAAGACTCACTGTCAATGAAATTTTTTACACAACTTAGATATTTTTGGTGTACACCATACAAGCAAAAATTCCATTACTTGAGAATTTCAATTTTAAACATTTGTCATTGAGAAAAAACTATGGGGACAAATTAATAGTAATGATCCCGCCTTTGCTGAGTTTTCAAAATTAACTTAGTGGCAAATCAAAGATGTAAGGGTTATAGCATAGATCTTAGAATATATTGATCAAGTGTTTGCTCTCAACAAAAGGTCATATAAGACGAGATATATGAGAGTAATTATGAAAGATTAATAATAATGATAAAACAGCAAGACATTTCCATTTAGAAAATGAGATTGCTAGTTAAAACCAAGAATATTTCTCCATCCAAGTTTATTTGTCTGGACTCTGGATTTCAGAATTTATGGAGTGCTGGAATGATTTATGCCAAGTTCCTCGTGAATCTCATTTTGTTTTTTGAATCTTCTATTCCATCAAAATTATAGGTGGAACCTTAGGCACAACTAACTATTTAATTAATTGATTGTCGTTGGGTGTCTTAAAGTTTGAACCCTCTTATTAACTACCTTAATATGCATACTTTCAAGTATGTTTATTTTCTTTATGAACCATCCTATGAACACCTTAAACTATTTGTTCAATCAACTAAGTGTACATTTATGGGTTATGGCACTTCTTACAAAGGTTATATTTTTTATAATACATGCTTTAAAAGATTTCGCATCTCTCGTCACTTCATTACCTTTAAACATTAATTTTTCTTCCCTACTCGCATTTCTATAAGCCTTCATAATCGCAATATGTTTACAAAGGCCTTGACATTACAATGTCATCAATTCCTATAGGCAAATTGATACTTCTTGAAAAACCAGCATCAATTTGAGGGGAACATCAATTGGACATGCCATAATTCATTTATTATTGATGTGCAATTAAGATCATAAAATTTTGAGTGATTAAATAGTATAGCTATAAATATTTGTATTTAGGAACATAGTTGTAGGTTCCTAACTCCTTAGTAGATCATGTTTGATTATTGTAATTGTTGAAAATTAGACTTGTATCGTGAAAACTATATAGACTTATTTTCTATATAATGATGAGAACCTTCCAGGCGAAAGGAGTTTGATGTGAAACCAACCAAGAATTGCAAGGAATTAATAAAAGTATTGTGAAGTGTGCTACTCTAAGTTTAATGAGTCGCAAGGCATGATTATAAGAATTCTTAAATAGTAATTTTGCCTTGGCATGCGGTTACAAAACTAGGAGATAAGAACAAGATAAGATAATTCAAAATTATCACAATAACACTAGATATGTTGTAATAAAATCCAAGCTTAATACTTAGAAAATTCACCAAGAGTTATCGTTCACACTTAATCTAGGGTTTTAACAGAGAGAAGCATTCAGCACACTAAATGACGCCACTAAGATGGTAGCAACACCAACGCCTTTGATCCAAGAGAAGGACGTCGGCGGTGGAGGAGGAGTGCATCATCCGATGAGAAGCCAAGGTGCCCGGGTTTGTTGAATCTCAATCGTCTTGGTGAGGCAGTAAATGATACGGCTGACGTAGCTTTCCACTGAGTCGTCGTACTCTCAAACCAGTTCGTAGAAAGGTGAACGGAGAATGTCGATTTCTCCAAGTGCGTTGTAGACAAAACCGTGGTCTATTTCAGGATTGGCCATACACCATTGAGGAGGACGAGGGAGGATCTTGTCTTCTTCTTGTGGCTTCAATACTCATGAGGGAACTAAGGTTCCCAAGGGATGAGATGTAGTGGAGGGGTCAACCAAGGTGGGGAGAGGAGAGGGGCAGCTTTGGATAAGGGGGCTTGGGTTAGGTTAGAGAGGGGGAGGGAAAGTTTTAACCAAATCTGAAATTAATTTCATATTCTAAGTGGATTTGGAGGGATTTAATTTAAAATTTGAATTCAAATTAGAGTGGGATGGAGCCTCAATAGGAAGAAATGGGGGAAAGCCCATTAATGGGAGTCGGTGGCATCAAGAGAGAGGAGAGAAGGGATTGGGGAGGAGTTAAATAATTTCCAAACAAGCTATTGCAATTTAAGAAGGAGAATAATAAATCCTCTCTAAATTAAATTTAGATTGGATTTAAATTTGAAAATTTTCCTTATTTAAGATTTGTAAATATGGAAAGTTTTTTAAATTTAAATTTGAATTTCAAAATAATTTAACACCTTCCTTTATTGCTTGATCCAATTTAGGGAGTCATTAAGATGATTAGAATCACCATAATGACTTGGAACAATGATGGGGTCGGCGGCAAGGAGGGTGAGGGTGGGCTTGGCGTCGGACGGGTAGGGTTTTGGGAGGGGAATTGAAGTGGATCTATGAGAGGTAGTTTGGTTGCGGGGTGGTGGTGGAAGAATGAAGAGAAGCCGGTGGGTGATGACGAAGAAAGAAAAGAGAACGGGGAAGAAGACCACGAGCCATGGTGATGAGGACATTGACAGATGTTTTCGACGAGTATATCAGAGGCGCAGATCCATGGCCACGATTCACAGTATTTATTCTGATGCTTAGTTCTATCTTGATATTATGTATTAGTTGATATTACCGTTTGTACCCTTGCTTTTATTTGTCTTGAGTAGTAGCATGCACGTCATTGTATTTTGTTTTTCTTTAGGTCTATATATTATGGTCTCTTCTATTGTATGAGGATTATTGATGAATAAAAATTTCTTTCTGTTGAGATCTCTTTGTGAGTTCGTGAGATTTCCCAAGATCTCATTGTGAGTTCTTGAGGAGATAGTATTGTGGATCTCTTTGTGAGTTCTTGTGGAAGTGGTGTTCAAGGTTTGTAGTTTGACAGATTTCTTTTCCCTACACCAATCCCTTCTTCCCCTACTAACCCGAAAATTCCCCTCCCCAAAATTTCCATCCCACCCGCTCCACCGCCGGCCTCCCTTGGCTGATCCAGCCACCGGCAGACCTCCCAGCTCCCTGTCGCTAGCCGCCGGGTCCAAGCCCCACCCGTGGCCACCCTCCTTTCTGTCGGCCCCCTCTTGGCCCTCTTCCTTTTCAAATTTAAATTCTCCTTTCTTAATTTGCTTTCCTAATTAGGCTTTGTCTATTTAGGAAAGACATTTAAAGGAGTTACAACCTATTTGAAATTCAAACTACTTTCCCTCTCATTCTAATTCCAATTTGGGAGTTATTTCAAATTCAATCAATTCTAAAATTAAAATTCAAATTTGAATAGAATTAATTAACCCCTTGTGGTCCCCACATGCTTAATTCCAAAACCCTCTCTCTCCTCCCACATATGGCCGACCCCCTCCTCTTTTCTTTCTCTCTCCAATTACCACTTAATCACCACTTAATACCTCCTTAATACCTTTCCCTCCTAAACTTTAATTTCAAATTTCAAAATCTGAATATGAAATTAAATTTGGACTCTTATTAGAATCTGGAAATAAACTTCAGATTTATTTCTTCCACAAAATAGCTTCACCCTCTCCCCTCTCCCCCTTCCAAACCGTGACCCCATCTCCCCCCACCCCCCAAGCCCACAGCCCAACCCTTTTCCCCTCTCCACCCCTCATCTTTCCTTGATCGTTCTTATCGTGCTCCCTCACCCCCATGCTTACAGTGCATGGTCGATCCTGAGGTCGACCACGGCCTCACATACAACGAGCAAGGGGAGATCGACATCTTTTCTCTCCCCCTTCTATGAACCAGATTGGGAATACGACGTCACCGTCGAACGCTACGTCAACCGTATTGTGTATTGTCTTGCCGGGACCATTGAACTTCAACGACCACAAACCCCGTGGTCCCTCATTGGACGCTCCGTGCCGCCTCCACCTTCGACTACCTTCCCAACAACGACGTTCCTCGGCTCGTCCGTCCTAGTGGTTACTTCATTTATAGTGTGGAAGATCTTCCTCCGCTCAACCTAGATCCGTAAAGAGAGGGTAGATCCTCAAGGTGAACATCTCATTATTAACTTTTGGATTTGTGTTATAAGCTTTTACACTACATCACCTTTGTATTTGATTGAGAGTGTCTTGGTTATTCTTCACGCAATTCTTTGCCTAAGCAAGTGGAAGACCGCGAATTCCTGTAACTTACTTTGAATTGACCGATAACTTTATAAAGGTTAAACTTCTATTAAATTTTCTGGATAATCTTGTGTAACTCCAAGCATGTATCACATCACATGACTCTTCCGATGACTGATGGGTACTGCGTTCGCCCACATGTTGGACTCTCTCTTCCTTCTAGTGCACTCACAAGAAGAATAAGACAAAACAAAATTTCATTTAATCATTCATCATCCAAATACATAAAAAGGGGTCATATATATAGACCTCGTCATGACAAAAGAAAATAGACTAGAATGCCCCTCGGGCTACAAAAGCAACTAATATATATATATATATATATATATAATAACTAGTACATAAAGTGCATCAAAAGTAAAGGCTCTCCATCATGGTCATTGATCTCCGATGTTTCCTCTGATAAACGCATAGGAATCTCTTGTCGATGTCCCCATCAGAATTCGATACCTCACATATGCCCTCATTAATAATTGTCTTTGATTCAAATATCTTCCTCTTTTTTCAGATCAGACATCCGACTCAAAAAAAAGTTTCAATTGGTTGTGTGATAGAATAGCAATTCATTTGATTGGAGCCACTTTGTCAAGAATAAGAAAGGGTAACATTCCTAAATGATGCATTCTTCTACCTTTGCTAAGCCTCATCTAATTTTTATAAATCTTCAAATTTATGGATGCTATTTTTGGGCATGATCAAATGTAACCTTCAGATTGTCTAAGCAAGTGAATTCTTACTCTAGAATAAACTCTCTTATGGTTTCCTGGGCAAAATTGACACCTGAATTCAATACTTCTCACTTCCATTGCTCTACTAGACCTAAATTGGTATTACTTCCACTAAGGCTTACCAACATATATATGATTATTATCAAACGCATTGGTGAGGATTTCAAAAATCATTCTCTTATTATAAAAAAATACTTACGATTAGTAAAAGAAAATCTTATTTCTAATATTAAAAACTAGCACTAATATTCTATTGAGAAAGCCTAAAATATCAATATAATATCTTAAAATAAAATAATCCTTACTTTAATAAGTAAAAAAATCAATAAAATAGAAAATTAAAATTAGAGTTGGAGGAAAGTTAATGGCTTAAATATATTAACATTTAGTCATAATACTTGAATACAAGGGAGATTGGGAGGGCTAAATGCTAAAGCTATGAATTAGAACTGAGTGGCAATCAAAGGCTGCAGGGATAGCGAGATTAACATCAGAGGAAAAGGGATGCAATAGCTAAGAGGAGGATTATAAATTGTAGCAAGTAGTGGCAAAGGACAAAAACCAAAGTCAAAATGAGAGAGAAAGAGACAAAGGAATGGCTTGATAAGAAAGCAAAAGTCAAGACGCCGAAGAGAAATGATGCAGGGATGGGATCCAGAAACAAGGTGTCACACTCAGGTTACGATTCTACAATGTTGCTACAAAGAAATGTCATGAAACTAGATCATCAAATTTGAACACCACAAGAGAGATCTAAGTTGAGCATGTGAGTACTCAAGCATGAGAATCGAACCAGGAATAACTAAAACAAAAAATGTGTCTCACACATCTTCTGTACGAGTTACCCCTGCATTGAGTCATGTTTTGGCGAGTGTATAGACCTGAATTGGGATTGAAATACCTTTGACACTAGTTTGAGCATGACAAACACGTTAAGGCATATTGAAGGTATGTGGTGTCAAACATATGCACGATATGGATGTAAAAGGCATTTTAAAATGCTTGTGTTTCACAGCTTCCAAAAGAAAGGCATACAACAACATCAAGCCTTTGTCCAACTACGTGGGGTCGGCTACATGAATCCTTTTTCACCATTGTGTCATGTTAAAAGTCAAATTCTCATTTTAATCTAATAAATAAATATCATTTCTAATATTGTCTAACCAAGTCTTTTCAGGTTTACTTCTACCTTTCTTAAAATAAGACAAAACTAAAACCTCAACTTTCCTAACCGGGTCATCGGAAGGCCTCCGTTTAATGTGCCAAACCATCTAAGGCGACTCTCTCTAATCTTATGTTCCACTGGAGCTACTCCAACATTTTCACGTATATGCTCATTTCATATCCTATCACTAAGGGTAAAGCCACTCATCCACCTAAGCATCATCATCTCTGCAACACTTAACTTAGTATTATGCTTCCCTTCTAATGACCAATATTCGGCACCATAAAGCATTGCAGGTCTCACCACCATCTTATAGAATTTTCCCTTAAATTTGAGGGGGGACTTTTCTATCGCACAACAAGCCTGATGCATTCCTTGACTTCAACCATCCAGAATTCTGCTGGTAATATCCTCATGTATTCCACCATCAGTCTGAACAATAGATCCAAGATATCCAAAACATATACTCTTATTAATGATTTGATTGCCCAAAGTCACAATCCCCTCACTAGGTCTATTGCTACTAAAATTACACTCCATATATTCAGTTTTAGATCTACTCAAGCGAAAACCTTTGGACTCTAAGGTTGACCTCCATAATTCAAGTTTACCTTCAACTACCTCTTTAGTCTTATAAACAAGAAGAATATCATCAGCAAAAAGCATAAACCAAGCTAAATCCTCTTGCAAATATCTAGCGAGAACATCCATGACTAAAGCAAAAAATATGGGTTAAAGACTGATCCTTGATGTAATAAAAGCAAAATCACAACTAAAAATAACGCCATCTAAAGCTAGCCCCTAAATAAAATAAAATCAAACAACAACTGGCCGCTCCATTCTTAGGGTATTATGGTTACAAACCAAGCTCAAATATTCCCAAATGGCTAAGCCTATGAGTTATGAGCCAGTAGGCACAATCCATAGGGAATGAATCATTAGTAAGACAAATGTTATCTTAAAATTAGCCCTTTTAGCAAGCTTCCTCAAGTTCATGGGATCTCCTTAGGCAATGCAACACATAATTGTTAGGAAAGATCTTTGAGTCAAGTTAAGTAGATTACCTTTGTTGACTTAGCAAATTATGGTCCATATCAACTCACGACGATGGAATTATTAGATCTTGATAAAATTTTTCATCACTCCCCATTATCCACCCTATGCCAATGGCAAATTTGTTCTTAACAAAGCATTGTAGAGTTAATAAAGTTTCCTTAATCAAAAGTATTCTATTGTAATCGAGCTTATGTCTATTGGAAACCATAAACAAAAAAACAAAATCTTTCAATAGCATCTTACCTGATATGAGTCTGTTCTTTAAAAAATTGACTCATAATCAGGTGAAACTTTTCAGAGTCATGGTACATAATAACAGGTTATTAGACTATCAAGACTAAACTTCTTCTTTTTTTAAACTCTTTCTAGGGAATAATCTCGGTGACCAATAATGCCTTCATCAACAAACCAAAGAAAGAGAAACATCTACAGGAGCGCTGTCACATAGAAATGTGCATTTGCATTCAAAATATGGGATAAGAAGCAAGAGGCATGATACATAACAAATTATGGGATATAAGACAGTTGAGAATTCAAATACCTGAATTTCATTTCTTTTCACTGTTTCAAGAGAATCATCCCTGTAACCAGTAATGCCTTCATCAACTGACAAAAGAAAGAGATCAAGACCATAGTCGTGCCTACGATTTAACTCCGATAAGACATAAGCCAGAACTGTTGAATCTGCACAAAATTACAGTCATGTCACACAAATATCCTACCTCAAGGGAGAATTAGCATAAAACAGAACGGTCCTAAACTAGATGGTTATTATGATAAAAATACTTTAAAAGATATTCGCATGCATCTCTATCTATGTATTGAAACCAACAAGCTATGAAAAAAATTTTAAATTTTGCCTTACCCCAGCAGCACTCACTTTTGAAGTTTTTTTTTTTTAAAGAGGTTAAAGAAACAGCTTCGAAAGGAGAATCAAAAGGAGGAACAGGTGGTTAAACACATACAAGTCCCTACTTCTTAACAAACTGGAAATCTTTTGGGACATGATATCACTCGTACATAAATGTTTATTTATTCATCTACTTTAAACGACATAATACAAAAAGATTTGATAGCTCTTTTTACAATATTTTCCAATTTTGAGTTCCTCTACACCCCTAAAAATAGCCACCAAATTTTGAGTTCCGAATTGTGTTTTTCGATCCTTTTTTAGTCTTCCCTTACCTATAATTGAATAAAAAATATAACTAGACAAAGAAAAATCAGTCATGACCAAACAAATGAGAAAACGCATCAACCTTATGAACTTTGATTCCACTGCTACATTGCAAACATGGTAACTAATGATAGACAAAAAAAGGGAAATAGATATGATATTGTCATCTGCAATTTATCACCAGGACCTGCATTCACCTTTACCGCCAGAAGCAGCAACCGCAATCCGCTCGCCAGCCTTGAACAAATGATTTTCCATGATAACTCTATGAATCTCCTCCTCAAATACAGCATAAAAGCACTCTCTACATATCTGAGAAAAGAAATGCGCAATCCTTAAAAAATGTTTGTAGGCTTATGCAAAAACTCCTGAAACCCAAAGATGTATAGAACTGACTGGAAAGTAACAATAATCACTGCTTTAACCCAATAAACTCATACCAGACATGTTCTTAAGCAAACAAAATATGTTTTCATATGAAACAAACCAAAGACTTGGCAGGTAAAGTGTTTACTGGGAGTTGGTTCGAACTATAAAGATGAAGATCAGTACAAGCATAAAAAGGAAATTTTCAGTATAAAATGTTCTAACAGAAAAACAATAGCCTGCAATTCTACTGAATATAAGCTAATTAAATTTCCATTAGGATCTCTATATAATAACTTTATGAGAAAAAATAAACAAATAAAACTAGATAAGAATGACAGTAAATCTTTATAGATTGTCTTTTCTGTATCAAACTACATGAGTAAAACTGTCCTCAAAGAGCGGCTTAGAATCCAAAAAACACAGATGAAAATCTAACTTAAATGTAAAATGATCGGAAAAAGATTTCGTAGCTAAAATATGACTTTTCTATACTTCAAGTACAAATATTGAAAGTTACACCTTGTATGATATAAGTTTTGCTGAGGGAAAAAAATGATCCAGCTTTATTTATCACAGAAAACTAATCCCACACATTTAAAAGGGTAAACTAAGCAAAGAAATTGACAAGGATGATGCTGGTTCTTGGCTTGGTTGATACTGATACAAGGGAAGGGAGGATTCTATTAAGTATTAACACTCTAGAAAGGGAAAGGAGAAAAAAAAATCAGCCAAATGAGAAAATGAACGGGTCAAACACCGTTAGGAGAGAGTTTCATGCATACAAACAAAACAAAATTTGATTATTATTTCATTAAATGAAAAATCTTAATATGCCAGGTTCTGACACGTCCAAAAATGGCCAGTCAAAATGAGAAAGGCAGCAATATGTTAAGAGACATGTCCTAGCAACTCCTTCGAGTGAAGAAGGCTTCCTTAGAGAGATGAGGAAGCGTGATTGATGTTGATGAAGGCATCAATGGTAGAATAGGCTCATGTATCTCTTTAAGTATACGGTAATACCCATAGGTGGACAAGTATTGCAATTTGGCCGCTGTGAAGGTGATCAACAACCATCATTAAATTCAAGTGGAGCTATTAGTGAACTAAATATTTGTGGAGAATTTAGAAGCATAGAAGTTGAAACTTGAAAGTAAACATGCATCATCAATCAAATATTAATAACACGGGCAAGTTCATATAATAGACTAATAGTATATATAGATATGGCGGTGGTGACACATCAAAGCCAACTTATGAGAGTTAAAATTAAGATAATAAGATAGAGAATTGAATGGAATCATGTATGATAGTCTCAACAACTAGTTGAGAATTTAAGCATCTCCATACAATATACCACTATATATGATCTTATGAATAACAAGCTAATCGTGGAAACAGAAGTATAAGAAGCTAGAGAACAATCTCTATCTCCATCTATAGAGGCTAGGGAGCAACAATAATGGTTGGAGACTCCTAATACTTATGTGCAGCATCAGTCACTAGAAAAATATCTCATCTACACTTTAGATCGACCTCATCCTCATATATATAATCAAGCTTAAGTTAAGCCACAAGGTGACTGATCCTCATTCTCCTCTATAAAAGTAGGTGGAGGTAATGGGAGTAGCAAATTGATTGGAGTTAGTGTAGCTTTTAGGGCTATGGGAATATGTGGAATTCGTGGAACTGAATAAGGTCATCAGGTAAGAGGAGTTTGTGGGACTATAGGGGGTAGTTGTGTGGGGGAGGAGTATCTTATTTGTGTAGTATAATAACCAGGCATGTTTAGTGAATTGGATACACAGACTGAGAAGAAAGATCAACATGTTGAGTTATATGAATGAGGAGACAACAAATTATCCTTTAAGATAATCATGCCATGTTTTATATTGATGATGATATTTCATATATAAAATGTCTGTTTCATCCATATTTTCAATTAATGGGTATTGATTACAAATATAATGACAATGCTTTTCATGAAAAGTGTGGTGTTTAGAATAGGCTTTGAAGAATGAGTACATTCATAGATATTATAAGAGAAAAGAACGTGTTTTTTTATACCACCAATCATGAAAATGATTAATATAAGAATCGTGATAGGGATCATAGTAAGTAGTGGCTATATGAACAATAATATTGTAGATATCTATCGTTAGTATCAAAATTGTTATAATACTTACTTCTAGAATTAGTATAATAATATGAAGCAAAAATATTATGAAATTTATATGATGGTGTTATCTTGATGGTCAAAAGAGAAAAAATTATGAGAATTTCATCCAAAGGGTGGAGCTAGGGACACATGATACATACTTGTTGCTTCACCCATTCACACATCCTCCCATCCACATATAATCTCTTGAATCACTTAATCTCAACTCATAAGCCACCTAGAGTATGATAGTCATAAACAGAGCTATATAGCTTACCTCATGTGACATGCTTACATGGAAATCACATCTTGACTACAGCCCTAACTTTCGATTGCATTCAGTACTTCTACGCAGCATATTTCTCCCGATTGACAACTAATCGTACCCAAATTTCTTGGAAATAAGACACATCCACTCCAAGCATCTATCCTCGTGTCATATAATTCTTCACATTTGTCTGATACACTCAAGTGATACAAACTAATGATGGATAACTTTGGCTTGGCTAGAACGGATTATATTGAGTACTTGAAAGATAATCTCACATACATCAATCAAAGGATGGACAAGATCATCTCATTTATTGAAAAGTATTTTTGCCTTGTGCATATTATTGGCGTGTTATATGGTAAAATCATAGGTTGAGAAAGAAATTGAAAATGTTAAGTATGTTAATCACTGAGAAGATCCCTGCTAGTCAACCCCACATAGTGAGATAAAGGCTTGTTGTTGTTATTGTCAACCACTTGCCTTACAAAAGCAAATAAAATTATTTGCTCCTCTCAAATAAAAAAGGGTTTCAAAGTCTCCACCATGGGTAACAAGACTTCAATTAAATTGATTCAATCTAGTAGTATGTAAGAAAGATTATAAGTTTCTAGAGATATATTATTAATATTGTTCTAGAGGATCTACCTGAGAATCTTCTACTAATATTCTTAATTAAAATATGTTCTTCCCTTTTTTATCCTTCTCTATTGAATAGATTCTTCATTCATCACGTCCCATCTATCTCCCCTCTTCAAGATTAATTTTGCTAATCGTACAATATAGTCGAATATTTAATGATGTTCCTTTGGAGCATTTTAATTGCAGGGAATAGAGTTCTTTCTAACCCATGTGAATTGATGCAACATGATAAATTATATTCTTTTCAATATTTTAGAATATAATTTCATTTAAACTATGATTTAAAATATGAATTGACTGAGCAATATAAATATATTCTATGTTGTTGTTGTTGTTGTATGTTTTTTTATGATTTGTCCCTTTTTAATAATTTTGTAGTTAAATTTAGATTAGTTTAAATAATGCGAGATTGGATTTCAAACTTAATCTTATCTTGTAACCCTATTTGAATAAATAAAGTCATTTAGAATCAATGAATTGAATTAATATATATGTATTCTACTCAACTGACAATCTTCTCTCTCATTCATTTTCTCTCTCTCCCTCTATCTTGTTATTTCTCTCCGCTCTTATCCCCCTTCTCTCAAATCCCTCCTTTCAGCACCCAATCCCCTTCCTTTCCCGTTTTTGCCTAGCTATGCAACAAACCGCATGTAGATAACCAAATTGAAGCAAAGGAAGAAAGGATTGTATTAAAGACTCCACAGATAAGCAGGAAGAGAGAAATTGGCCAAGAGTGACAAGATAGAAACCAGGTGAAGGGGTCAGGCACCTGTAAGAGAAAGCTTCTTGCTTTTAAACATTTATTGATTAATCGTTCATTTCAATTTTCTTACATGTATCCTCAATCTATAAGAAGATTTTAAAAAATTACGTAATCTAAAAAATGTAATCAAGTGTAAGAAAATTAAATAAATCAATAATCTCTTATAAAATACAATACTAACAAAAAAAAATCCTCTAATTGAAACATTAGATTTCAATTCAATTCGCTGATATTTCCAAATTCGCGGATTCTAACATATCAAATAGACGTCAGAACTCCAATGATCTCCAAAGTTGGAGTAACCGCCAGAATGTTCTCAAAAGCACTGCTTGATTTTAAAAAAGCACGATTATTGAATAAAACCAAAACACTTGTAGGGGCTTGATACCTGTTCTAGGGTTTTAGGCCTTTTCAGGGCGGGTCTCCTCTGACTGCAGATGGAGCACAAGCGACTCACGGCTCTCTTGCCCTCTTCCATAGAAATGAGCCTACCGCTCAATCTTGAGCGAAGTTCAACGAAAAGAAGAAAGGAAAGAGATGCTGATCAAACTATTAGGGGTTGTTTGCAGTAGGATTTAACTGCCAAACAGCCAAAATGTCACTTTTAAGTCCATCAGACATTAAATCCCGGATTACGTAAAGCCAGCATTGAACGGATTGAAATTAAATCAGCGAAAAAACTCCTCTTCTTCTTCAAACGCTTCTGGTCCGCGTCGATGCCTTCTCCGGCGAGCTCCCGTTGGTATTTTTTTGTCGGTCGAGGAAATTTTGGTCAGCCACTTGGAGAAGAAAACTAGGGTTTCGGACATTTGGATAATATTTTTTAATTTTCATAAATAGCATAATTTTTTTTGTAAATTTATCTATCTAATATGGAAACTTTATATTTATTAATATAACATATATATTTATAATCATATAAATATATATATATATATTTATTTATTTATTTTTTTTTTTTGTTTCGGAGTGGAAGATTCAAGCGAATGAATATCTAGCGCATATATAGATAAAGAGGGAGTGATGGTACAAGAGTCATAAGAGACTAAAATTTTACGTGGAAAATTTTAAAAAGGGAAAAACCATAGGGCATAACCTAGTTAAAATAATTTCATCGATGTTATAGTCAATTACAAATGGCTCGCTTCCTCGAGGGAAAAGTTTTTGGCTCAATGTATCATATTTAGTGCATTATATAGTTGAGGATAGAAGAATCCAATTATAAGGGAGTTATTCTCAAGAGAATGTTGGTGTATTCACTCGGTTGATAGGATACAAAGGTCAGAGGGACTACAGTCGGCAGGCGAAGAAGGTTGGGTCTGCTGTAGTCGGCGAGCTAAGGAGGTCGGGGAACCGCAGTCGGCGGGCAAAAGAAAGTTAGGGGACCATAGTCAACGGACGACAGAAGTTGAAGGGATTGTAGTTGGTGGACAAGAATGGTTGGATGGACCATGGTTGGCAGCAATGCTGGTCCAACGGTGGTCGATGGCAGGGCGATGGTCCAAAGGTGGTTTGCAACTAGGCGGTGGTCCGACGATGGTCATGCGCAAGTCCAGTGGTGGGCGGTTGATGTCGGTCGGGCATGGTCGAATGATGATTGAACTAATGTATTGTGGTGATCGGCGGCTTGGCGGTGGTCTGGCATAAATCAACAAAAGTTTGTTAGCGATGGTGCTTGGGTGGAGCTTCAGATCCTTGAAGCCTCATAGCTCTGTTCAATCTCCAACAAAAAGGTCCAAAGCAACTTCATGTAGAGAGTGGTGATCTATTTATAAATTTTGAAAGTGAAAAACCATGTAAGTATAGAGAGGATCTGGGGCAAATTCAAAGTGCTCCATCCAACGGACCATATTGATTTCCTTGATCGTAGAGTGTTTGTCAAGCCTTTTTATACCCAAAATGATGTCAGAGTTAAGTGATCTTAAGTTTGTTGGATTCGTCTCATCGAGCTGCTAGATTTGACTATAAGCATGCCATATTTAGAGGTCATTTACGTCCAATTAATATTTTGAAGCTTCCAAATATGCTTTACTCACTTGATTTTGACTCATTTAGGCTTGGAATAGACTGATTTCGATGTTGGTAGGTTGGTCTCTTCGATGTTCAGTCTAACTATACGTTTCTTGAAATCAGAGTTTGGATGGTCCCAATTTTAGTTTTGAAAAGTTTTGTCTTGAATACGCCTCAAGATTTATGCCAGAACAATATGATTTTTTATGACATATCAATATTAATAATATTTTTATATAATTAAAAAATTATATGTGATAGAAGTAAATGTTAACATTTAGGGGAGACATAAATAAATTTTAAATTTATAAGAACTCCATGGTCTTCCTCTTTTTTATCATTTTATTAATATTAGTTGGTAATAGTAAAATAATAAATCTAACCAAGACATCATAAAAAAATAACAATTAGTGTAAAAAACTATAGATTTCAACTAAAGTTAGCCAAAAGAGGATTAGAAAATTTTGACATCTCCTAACTCCACTTATAATCTCAATCTCCCTTTTACTTTTTACAATAAATAATAAATATAAATCATTAAATATATGCCTCAAAATTTTAATTAAAAATATTTATTTATTTTTAATCACATAGCTATCAATCTTTTCAACCATTTTTTTCTCATTCAATATGACCCATTTATCGAAGATAGAAGCTACTCTTTTTATTTTGGCAGGTTAGGGGATTCAAACGCGGATCAGCAGGAGAAAGTTATTTCGTCAACCAATGAGCCACAACTCGATCTGCGATGGAAGCTACTTGATTTCTTACGACAATTTGCTAACCCTACCCTACCATGTGAAAGAACATGGGCCCAATGTTGTTTTAAAAAGGGACCTTTGGTGGAAATGCCTTTCATGATTGATCTATCTCTCATTTTCTTCATATGTGAAAAGAATATGTACTTAGTACTAATCTTTCACTTCAAACATTCTACCATAATGCTAATTATGGATTATGATTATTAATTAAAAATTAATTACAAAGTTATAAAAGAAAGCATGGTGGGCCATAGAGTATTTAACTCCCTCCAAATAAAAGGAAATATATTATATTAATTATTATTATTATACATCAAATGAGGTGAATAATAATAATAATAGTAATATTTGAAAAAAAAATATCTAGATATGTTTTGTATTATAAGATGATTAAACTATTAGACAATATAGTTATAGCTAAAGAGAAAAATAATTAAACTATTAGAGAAATAATTTAATTGCATTCTATTAGTGAATGTTTGATAGTTTAGTTGTATTGTCTAAAAATTAAATTGTTATCTATTAATAGGACTAAGCTATTAGATATTATAATTAAATTCAAAAGAGAAATATAACTGAACAAATAGATAAATAATTTAGTTGTAAGCTTATGCTTCGTTATGGACAATTTTTTGTTACTGTCTTTTGCTGCTTTTAAGAAATTTTTGTATTAAAAAGCTGCTTTAGAAAGCAGTAAGAAAATTATCCCAATCAAAGCCTTTGTTATATTTATCATTTAAATTTAGTTTTATTATGCAACATTTATGTTATATTGATTGATGAATAACATGTGATGCATAAAATTAAGTTCACGTACAATAAAATTAGCTGCCATCCTAATATAAAATGTATCAATATATCCTTAACAGAATTTTTCTTCACGAATTATGATAATTGGCGAAATCCAATTTAAGCTTCATTTGGGACAACATTTGATCACTACTTTTTTACAATTTTTTATAATTTTTTAGCATAAAGTTGCTTTAAAAAGCAGCAAAGAAATTGTCCAAAACGAGAAAAATTATTCTGTGCGGAGTCCGGACGGAAAAAACTATTCAGACATATGAGTGTACACACTGTGGACATATTTGTACACAGTGTGTATATAATTTTGTACACGTACGCTGTGTGTACACTCAAAGTCGGAACAGTTATTCTCGTTCGAACTCCACACAAAATAATTTCTCCCAAAACGAAGTCTTAATTACAAATAAATTAAAAAAATATATATCAATTAAAAAAAAAACTAAAACTAATTTTATACATATCCATCTAATTGATAGCTCCATCTTATCAGTGTCATTACATATATGATGGACACAAAGAGCTTTCACCATATATTGTAAAAGCAAAATTGTGACATAAAAAAATATCTATAACAATTTAAAAAGGCAGAACAAGAATTAGTGGTGCCAATAATGTGGCAAGCTGTAAAGTGTGAAATCAAATAGTACTAATAACTCTATATTATCTGCTTAATAAGAAGTGGCTAACATGCATGCATGGAATCACACCTACAAGTTTTAATGTTATAATATTATTAAATTATAATTATAATAAATATATGTCAAAATATATATGTGCGACAATAAAGTATTAATATCTTAGCTTATTACAAATATTTAGCGCACACAGATAGCTGTGTGTAAGAGATACTGAAACTTTTTACGTGAAAAAAGAAGAAGAAAAATCACGGAATTTAGCTTAGTTGAATGAATCCACTCCATTGAGTTCAACCGCTAGCTTTTAATTTAAGGCTTGAGTAGTTTGACCGATTCCTTATAAATTTTATTTTCTTATCAGATCGAATCAATTTGAAAACTGGCTTATGATCTTATTGGTTAAACCATCCGCTTACGTCTTATTTTTACAATCACGATCAATATAACATAACTAAAGCCCATGAGACAATTGATTGGCGATATAAATTTATTTCCCAACTACATCTTAGATATTCTTATTCGCTTCGTGAATAATTCAGTGATATATCAATACTAAAGATGATATTAGTTGCTTAAGTATGGGAGATTATGAGATCTGACCATAAGTAAAATAAAGCAAAACTCTTTATTATTGTGCTGCAAATGATTTTTTTGAAAATTTTACAATTTAAGCATGTTCATATGAGAGCACTACTTTACATTTTAAGCATGTTCATATGAGAGCGCTACTCTAAATACAGATAACCTCAAAGCTATACCAACAAGAATAATACCGTGATATCCATCTTAATATGACAGTTAAAATAGACAATATCATATATAATTCGCCATTAACATTTCTAGCAATTTTTTTTCACCTAAAATATGAATTTTGACCATTTTTCAGAGAAAATAGCCACCGAAAAATGACCTTTTTAATGTATTGTGATATGATATAAATTATTATTTATTATAGTAACAATCAGTTGTTCAGATAATATGATCGATAAAAAATAAAAAAGAAGATAGTATGTGATAAAAAAAAATCTATCCTCATTAATTATCATCTTTATCACATACTCTCTCTCTCTATATCTCTAAATATCTCCTCTCAACTTTATCATACTCTATTTTCAATACCTCTCTAGATCTCTAATTATTCCATTGACAATTAACCAACACCTACCAAATATTTTTTTGTTTCCTCCTCCTACCCCACAACCCTACTCTCCATCTATATCTTCATGCAATCATGCATGTTCTTGTCCATGTGGTATGAGATCCTCCATTAATTGTGATTTCTAGGAAGCTTCCTTCCTTGAGTATGACAACTTGCTATGCCAAATCCCCATCATATAGAAGAGCATGGTCCCTCAAAAGAAAATACTATTCCCATGATTGACTCATCTTTCTTCCTTAATTTCTTCATTTGTTTTACTAAAGAGGAACTATTTTGTCACCAATCTCAAAGTTCACAAAAAATTACCAATATTTACTTCAATAATTCAAAGATTTTTTCACTCTACATAAGTCATTAGAAAAGTGAATTAAAATAATTATGTGAGGATATTTTTATTTAAGTCATGCATGATGGGGTCTAAAAAATTAACAAGGTGGGCAATATTTTTATCTTAAAAATTAAAATATATGAAAATATGTAATTTTGATTTATGAACAATAAAAATAACAATGAAAATATTTTAAATTAGAAAATATTAAGATATGATTATATGAATTCTAATATTATTAAAAAAATTAAATTAATATTTCTTTTAAATATGAACCCATAAATATATACAATATATTTATTTTATTTCAGCCGACAAAAAGCCATAAAAATTCCTTGCAAAGTAGGAAATATCATGATTTACTTTTCTATTTTAGTCCAAACAAATCCAATATTTACAAATTATGCAGTTTGGCACCTAATAAATTAAGTTATGATTTGGAAATTTATGATTTGTCATTTTCAAAGAATCAATGGTGCCAATGAATCTTTAGCTGTAAAGTGCTAATTATATTCCTAAAAAACACTAATTATAGTATTATTATGTCTGCCAAAAAAATAATTAAGCTTTTGATAAAGCTAGCATGTAGGTTCCAAGCTATTTTGGTCATTAGTTTTTTGTTCTTTATTTGTTTTAGGTAATTAAGTTACTTAAGTTTGTTAATTAAGATGATTAAAATTTAAAAAATTATTATTAAGATATTATAAAAAAATAGTATGTGAGATTAAATGGAAACAC